GAGAGAGAGAGAGAGAGAGAGATTATACAATTGTTTTACACAGATCAGGAGAAAAATCAATATTGTTACAATTGATACTAAAAATATTATGTAAAGTAGTTGTATTGATTGCATATGAATGAGCTGTTTTAAATTTTAAACATGAAAAAAATGCTCACAAGCATATTGTCCACCATAATATGTTAACAATTTAAGACAATTAGATTTTAATTTAACAAAAGTACATGGTAATTGTTCATAAAAATTAATTTTCTCTAAATTAGAATTACATTTATCAAATAATTGTTTATATAATAATAAATTATGAATTTCACAATGATATGTTTTAGCAGTTTGATTAGATAACAATTCAAATGGATTAGTAAATAATTTAAATTGCATTTTAAATTCATTTAAATCTTCAAATCTTGATTGAAAATCACTTAAAATAACTTTAATAAGATTAATAAATATAATTATATGTTTTTTATTTGTCGTATCATTAAAAATTAATTTATATTCGTTTATCACTATTAAAGCATGTTTAAAATTTGAAAAATTATACTCAATTAAATCATTTAATAATTTATTTAATTCTAATAAAAATTTATTAACGTTATCAATAATATCAATTATAAAAAGATTTTTACCTTGCATTCGTTTATTTAATATATTCAATAAATGTGTTATATCTACTAGAATTGCTAATTTAAATTGCCATAATTTATTGTTTAATTTATTATCACGTTTTTTAATTGATTTAAAATATTTTTTAATGTGATCACGCAAATTAAAAAATCGCTCTAAACAATATCCCAATGACAACCATCTGATTTTTGTATAATATAATACATCTCGATATTTAGCGTTATTTTTAACAAGGTAACTTTTGAAATGCCTATGTTTATTGCCTTTTGTTTTTAAAAATTGAATAATTTTTATAACGTGATTAATAACAGTAATTAAATTTATATTTTTTACTACTAAATTTTGTTTATGTAATAAACAATGTATATTTTTCAAATTTTTACCATAATTGTTTTTTAAATGCAATTTAAGTAATTTTACCAATCCATTATGCCTGCCCAGTAAATTTGGGGCGCCGTCAGTAGTAATTGACACAAATTTAGATAAATCTAATTCAAACTTATTAAAGCATAATAATAAAATTTTTAATAAATTACTAGCAGTTGAATTAGTTATCACCTCTATTAAATCTAAATAATTTTCAAAATATTCAAAATTATCAAATACACCCCTAATATATATTACAATATATTTTTTATGTGATAAACCAGTCGACTCATCGAGACAAATTGAAAAATACAACACCTTGCTAAATTTAAATTTTAATTGATTGTATAAATTATTGGCTATTATATTAATATTTCGTTTAATTGTGTTATTACTTAAATACAAATTATTAATATTTGTTTGTAAATCTAAATTATCTGGATATAATGAGCGAGTTATTATTGCCATACAATTTTTAATAAACAACCCTGTAGTAAATGATTTCAAACATTTTGCTATATTAAAAGATATTTCAAAATTAACAAGGTTGTTAACATTAAATTGTTTATTACTAATTGAATAATTGCACACTTTATTAGCCGTATTATACTTACCAATTAAATAATTAAATTTAGCTTCACGTATTTTAATGTCATTTATATCAAGATAATTTTAATGAAAATTATTGTAATGCCTTTTTATATTATAGTGTTTAAACTGTGATAGTTTACCATATTTATAATTATTATCATGACAAATTAAACATATGGCATAATTACCTTGTTTTATAAAAAAATATTTATAATTCCAATCATTATTAAAATACCTTAAAACTAATCGATTAGTTGTATTCACTTTTCCTCTTTCTGTCTCTCTCTCCTCTTCTGTCTCTCTCTCCACTTCTGTCTCACTGTCTGTCTCTCTCTCCTCTTCTATCTCACTGTCTGTCTCTCTCTCCTCTTCTATCTCTCTCTCCTCGTCTGTCTCTCTCTCCTCTTCTGTCTCTCTCTCCTCTTCTATTTCACTGTCTGTCTCTCTCTCTCTCCATATATTTCTCATTGATTTTTCTTTCTCTCTCTTCAAGGATTCTCTCTCTTTCTTCTGCTCTTCTCTGTAACTCATTCTCTCTCTCTTCAAGTCTTCTCTCTCTTTCATTGAGATCTTTCTCTCTTTTATCGAGAGCTGACTTCCGATTAAAATATCGTTTTGTTTTTATTTTCATTTTAAAATAAATAAAACAAATAATAAAAATGGACTATTTTTATAGTAAAGGGCACACGATTATTAAAAATAGTGTAACATTTATCATGAGTAATTTCTAATAAATAACCAAGTTCAAACAATAATCACGTCTCACTATTCTAGGTAATGGCAATTAGTGTTTATGTACTAAATCGTTCATGCGAACATTTTTATGATACAAAACTTTAATAATTTTAAATAATTAATTTTTATTTGATTATAGAGATATACATGACATTTAAATAGTAACAACATTTATAAAGCAAACATTTTTAAAAATATAGTTATTCTGAAATGTATTGTGTCTATTTAGATTTGTCAGTTAACCAAACTAATTGATCAAGCCATTCAGATGGAATGCACATGGCAATTGAAACTAATAATTTAGACACAGCACCCTCGGTGGGCGTATACCTCACTCGAGGCGTGGCATTTTGAACGGCGTCGATCATATCGTTTACCACGATATCAAGATTAGTACCAAGTTTAAACTTTTGCGAACTCTCAACTACGATATGTTTCAACTCATTCTCACTATTAATACCGTAAGCGTTTTGAATCTCGGTATCTGTCTGTCGCCACGTGCGACACAGGGCGGCAAACCTGGTGTTGTCGTCGGTAATACCGGTGCGAAAGGCCGCCGGCTCTACAGTCACCACACGGACACCAAATGACCGCATTTCCCGACGTAATGTGTCCGAGAAAGCGATCAACGCATGTTTAGACATCGCGTACCAGACGAATGGGCTGACTGAGAATCGACCCATTATGCTGACCATGTTTACAACGCGACCTTTAGTACCATAGTTAATTATTAGGTTTATTAAGTTAATAATTTAAGTTTAAATGAGATCAAGGTTACATTATATTTTGTCAAGTGAACTTACCTTTTGATGCTCTGATAAGGGGTAGGAAAGTACGGGTCACTCGTATCGGTCCAAACATATTTACGTCAAAAATCAGTTCGTACTGTTCGGGTGATCCCCACTCTATGGGACCCTCAGTCATAACGCCGGCGTTGTTGACCAGTGCCCACAAACAATCACCATGGCCTTTTTCATTTAAATGCAATTTAACATAATTGTATGCCTTTTGAACTTGGTCATGTTTGGTCACATCCATGCCTATGACATGCATGTTATGTGCAAACCGTGCCTTAGATGTCAACTGCTGTGCGCCGGCACTGGACTCGGATATGACGGTCGCGTAGACTCGAAACGCGCGTTCATTGAGACGCAGCGCCAGTTTGTGACCAAAGCCTGTGTCACAACCTTTAAGGTAATAAATGAAATTGTATTAATGACATATTCAATAATTTGATAACTATACTTTAAACCCATTTGAGTCAAAACTCTACACTTGGGTGTATGACTATGAATACATAATACTTTAGCTGTAAGTTTTAACTTTAATGTTTATAACTTATTAAATTAGAATATAAATATTGTGTAATCAATATAAATTAAGTAATCATAACATTTAATTTCTAGATTACTTACCAGTTATTAGCACAGCTTTGCCTTTTGATGTCAACATGATTTTGGGTTTATAGTTATGCCATAATTTAATCACTAAATACGTGATAAATAAAACTAACAAAATATTGCTAAAAATAGTCAAAATATTTAGCAATGTTTGATAATAATTTGTTATAATGAAGAACATAGTAAATATTATTTTTAAATTATATATAATAATTATATCTTAATGTCTACCATACAAATATCCATAATATGGAATTCCATATGGTAAAGAAATTTATAAATGTTTAATTTAAATGTAAAATATAATATAGACATTAGTGTTATTATAACCAAAATGACATTTATAGACTCTTAAAATTTAAATCAATAAAAATAATATAAAGTATGTAAACAATAAAAACAAATGTTTGTTTATTTTAGCATTTTTGTTTTAGTGCTAACAGTTTTTGCCCTGTCTTCAACTTTTGGTGACAATTAAATTTCATTGAATTATTAAATATGACAAATAATTGCATATAAAATGATTATGTAGAATATAATTTATGTTTTTATAACTTACTTGTTAGCAATAACTATTGAACCAGATGTTAGTTAATTTCAACGTAGTATATTGGAATTTTGATCACAAATTATTTGAATGATAATTTTACAATAAAACCAATAACATAGTAAATTAAAATAAATATGTTACTTTTTACTTACCTTTCTTATTAATAATAAACAATTATAAATATTTTTCAATTGTTAATTAAATAAAAATACATTTTATTAGATAATTTAATTCCAATTAGTAATTGAGATTAATATAGCTAGATATAGCAAGATAAATAGTTAGTAAAATAATAATTGCTACTTTGCAGAGTTATCAGTTAACCAAAATATTAGATCTAGCCATTCCGACGGAATATGCATAACAATTGCCACAAGTATTTTAGCCACAATACCATCAACGGGTGTATACCTAACCCGGGGCTCAGCATTATGTACGGCATCGCACAAATCATTGACCACAATATCAAGATTAGGACTCGGCTTAAACTTGCCATTAGATTGAGCTAGCAATTTTTTCAAATCATGTTCACTGTTATAGCCGTAAGAATTTTGTATTTCGGGCGCTGTCTGGCGCCACAAACGGCACACAGCGGTAAATCTGTTGGACTCGTCGGCTATACCGGTGCTAAAGCCCGCCGGCTCTACAGTCACCACACGTACGCCAAATGACCGCATTTCCCGACGTAATGTGTCCGAGAAAGCTATCATTGCGTGTTTGGTCATACAGTACCAAACGAATGGGCTGACCGAGAATCGACCCATTATGCTCACCATGTTTACAACACGACCTTTAGTATTACAAAAATTAGTTATTAGTTTTAAAATGTTAATAGTATAACTAAGTGGGACAAAGGTTATAGTACACTTGGTTTATTAAAATTACCTTTACATGCTCTAATGAGGGGCAAAAAAGTACGGGTCACTCGTATCAGTCCAAACATATTTACGGCAAATACCAGTTCGTACTGTTCGGGTGATCCCCACTCTATGGGGCCCTCAGCGGTTACACCGGCGTTGTTTACCAAAGCCCACAGACAATCACCATAGCCGTTTTCGTTTAAATGCAATGTTACGTAATCGTATGCTTTTTGAATTTGATCATGTTTGGTCACATCCATGCCTATAACGTGCATTTTATGTGCAAACTGTGCCTTAGAGGTCAACTGCTGTGCGCCGGCACTGGACTCGGATATGACGGTCGCGTAGACTCGAAACCCGCGTTCATTGAGACGCAGCGCCAGTCTGTGACCAAAGCCTGTGTCACAACCTTTAAGGTAATAAATTAGCAAATTGTTATTATAACATAATTTAAATATGTATAATTTTAAATATAAGTTACTAAATAATTGTATGTTTTATGAAATATTTATTTTGTAACGTAATCAAAGTAATTTTAATTTAATTGGTATAACTTTAACATGATCATTTGTATATAAATTAAGTAGTCTTACATTGTAGATTATTTATAATAGTTGTTTATTTAATTGTATTAAAATATTTATAATACACACCCGTTATAACTACGGCTTTGCCCTTTGATGTCACCAAAACTTTAGGTTTATATTTATGCCATAATTTAATTAATAAATACGATATGAATAACACCAACAATATATTGCAATACATAAGCAAATATGGCTGAGTTTGATAATAATTTGTTAGAAACGATAACATTGAAAGTAAACTTTACAAATAAAATTACCTTGCTCGTCAGGTATCGATATATTATATATTTATATATACTGTATGTACATTTAAGTTGTAATATTTATATTACAAACTATGGCAATTAATTTATTTTATCATTATTTTTATAATTTCTTATTCTTAAGTGCTAAATGTGTTTCTTATTCATATATTTAAATTATTTTATTTTATAAGTCGGTTTATAAGCATATGTTTATAACCACTATTTTTACCATATTTTTAATGGTAAAACATATTTGTGGTAATGTAAAGATAATTACAACTGATTCGCATGTAAATTAAAATTTGGCATATTCAAATGAAAAACTAATTTATCAATTATTTGGAAGTCTAAAAATAATAGCATAAATACTATTATTGTAATAAACAATTTAAACTTTCTAGTATAATTACTCTTTGTATATCATTTGTATAATTCATATTAAATTTTTACAGTTGAGATTATTTTTAGACAATTTTTAACAAGTATTAGACAATTTATTTGCTTAAAAGTTAAACAATTATTATTAAAATTTATAATTTCTGTTGAAGTTATAAACAAAGTAATGATTACTTGAATGAGTAAAGATATAATTAAAAATATTTTAATATTATATGTATTTATATTTAAATATTTAAAATAATTAATGATCTAATGTAAAGTTAAATTGATTTATATAATTAAGTTGATTTAATTTATTTTATGTATTCATGAAAATAAGAAAGGTTGTTTTCAACAACTAGCTAGTAATACTGTTTATTAAAATACCAGGATTTCCCATAACTCTATTGTCGTTTTCGTTAAAATTAAAAATTAATAATCTAAAGTATAAAATTTATCATAAGTAATTTTTATATACAATACATCAAAATACAATAAACAAATGTATTGCATTATTGTCTGATTGATTTATACGTAAAAAATAACTTAAAATGTTGAAATGCTCACCAAGGTTGTTAAAATACATTTATTTCCCCCTAGTTAAACGCTATATAAATAAACTCTGTTTTAGTTACAAAATTAAAATAAATTTTCAATTATAAGTTATCTACCAAGTTGCACTTATCATTTAAAATAAATATTGCCAACATTTATAAATAAATACTAATTACAGTTTTGTCAACAATGTCAAACAAAATGACACATACATTAATCATGGTGATAGTGTTGGGCACAGCTATGGTGACCGTATTGGCCCAAACCCGTCAGACTCCGGCCCAATGTCGGAGTCTATGTTCGCGAGTGCGCTGCGCGAGTGGGCCCGAGCGTCAGGTTTGCCAAAGCATACGTGGGGCCACTTTCCTGGCCTACAATCCCGACAAATGCCAGTGTTGTCAACAGTGCGTGAAATACAGATGTAAGTGATCATGTTGTTTACTTTTAGCTTGGCTAATTTGGTTGTAAAGACAATTAATAAAATACCAAACATTAATTATTTTTCTAAATAATAACTAACTTAGTGTCATGACAATATTGTAGCAACAATAAAATTAATTTAATATACATTAAATAAAAAAAAGTACAATAGTCAATAAAACAATAGCTTACTTAATAAAATGATTATACGTTAATTAATAATGGAAACAATTAATAATTTTTAATTTTACATCTAGATGAAGGGCAAAGCTGTGGGCTTGAAAACTCAATAACCCCGGTCCGGTGCGCTGAGGGATTAGTTTGCGATCGGAGTATCCGTTGCGTAGCGACCCGTCGCCCCGGAAAACGATCACTGGTCTAGATTTTTAAATATAATATGGTTATGTAAAATTTATTAGGATTTACCATATTACAATTACAGTAGTATTAGTATTTTACAATAATCAATTAAGTAAATAAATTAACATACATGTATGCCTACGCTCTGTAAAATTGTAATAACTATGACTGTTTAAAACAGGCTTGTAACTAAATATAATAGTTAATTACCTAGATACTGTAATAATTTATTTAATGCGCTATTGATCAACCTTAATACTAATATCTTGGCACAAATATCATCCGTACAATACAATTAATTATTTAAAATTTTATAAGTAAATAAAATCTGTTTAGCAGAACAAACATGCAACAATACTATTGTACATTTACCGTTATAAATTATATTTATTAATTAATTACTCGCATGTTTTACTAAAATAAATATAGCACATAACTAGGCTTGCAACTCTATTATTCCTGAAAAAAATTATTCCCAAAACAAATTATATAATTTGATAATCAAATTATTTATTTTTGTAAATGTAATGGAGATAGTTAGAAGAATTATTTTTAATTAAGAATATAAATTTTAACATTACCTCAACTACTTAAATAAAAATATTAAACTCATTACAAGAAAATAATTAATGTTTAACTAAATAAATTAATATTTATTAAAATAGTATAATTTGTTGCACAAATAAAAGTTTTAAAAAAGTAAATATATTAACGTAAGAATTTACAGACAAATAATAAGCTGTACACAAAAAATACAATGGTACGTGAACGGGAATGTGGTAGAAATCTAAATGTTTAAAAATTTTGCAACTCTACTTCAACAACATTTAAATATACTATCTCTATGCACAATAGGACACAACATCCTCTATATAAACAACATTTTAAAACATCCATTAAATAGTTATTATAACAATTACCATAATGTTTGCTACAAAACTTACCATAATATTCCTAATCGGTGTCTATTACCAAACACAGTTGGTTTCGGGCGCCACCAAAACCAAAGCCGAGTGTAAGCGTATGTGTATGGCTGTCAGGTGCGCACCGGCAGACCCAAGCCAATGCGCTGCCATATCTAACTCGGTGTACTTGGACTACGCGCCAGAGTTATGCCGGTGTTGTTCCGTGTGCCAAGTGAATCTCAGTAAGTATTATCATGATCATATTTTGTAATTATTGTTTATTAAGTGACATTTGTTTTGTTTACCATGTTTGTGGTAATTGATTAGGTGTGGGACAAAACTGTGCGCCAGAATTACGCTTGAGCAAAAAGTGTAATCCAGGATTAACCTGCGATGCCAAAAGTAACCTATGTGTTAAACAGTAAAAATGGTCACGTTTAAAATGTTACCGCTATATATTAAATGAAAATTCTAAGAATTTCATGAACTTTAAAAATAAATTATAATGCTAATAAATTAATAAATATTTTTAAAAATGTATTTTTTTTAATAAACAGTTATTTTTAAATAATTAGTTGTGATTACCTTTGAAATGCTTGGGATCCGTGTTGACTGGTCTTCACCTGAAATCAGCTTGCTAAACATCTACAATGGTTAACAATGTAGTTAATGTTTGCACTTTAAATGTAAAAACAATTACAGATAAAAATGCTGCCATGATACATACAACATATACAACAAAATATACATGTAACTTTGTAAAAGTCCTGTTCTTAAGGTATTCATCCATTCTTGATGAAACTTCGATTCTGGTGCTTAGAGATGTCAACTTAAATTATAAAATTTACTAAAATTATTATTTAATCATAAAAATTATTAAAATATTATAATTTCACTATTTTAGCTACACTAAAAGTAACTAAGGACTAACATATATCAGTTGTGTATATAATTGTTAATTACCTAGATGTTGTATTAATTTACTTAGTGCGCTAGGTCAACTTTGATACTAGTATCTCGGCGCAAATATCATCCGTACAATACTTATTATTAACAAATTACAAATTATTAACAATTTTATATGTATACGTATACATATAATACGTATACTATCTGTTTTTAAAACAGTGTTTTAGCACTAAATAATTGCAACAACACTACTGTACATTTACAGTTATAAATTATATGTATTAATTATTAATTACTTGTTTTATAAAAACAAATATGGAACATAACTAGGCTTGCAAATTTATTACTCATTGACAAAATCATTTCCATACTAATTATATAATGTGGTAATATTTCATTTTACAAATTTAATAAATATAGTTATAAAAATTGTTTATAATTAAAAATATATATTTTAACGCTACTTATACTACAATTATTTAAATGAAAATTATTGTACACATTAGAGAAACACAATCAATGTTTCAATCAATAACTAGTATAATTATTTAAATAATATAATTTATTGAATGAATAAAAGTTATAAAATGAAACGGGAACGGGAATGAGGTGAAAATATAAATATTAATAAAAATTTGCAACTCTACTCTGAACAACATTTACTACAAATACTATCTCTATGCACAATACGGCACAACATTCTCTATAAAGACAACATTTATTAAAACATTTATTAAATAATAATAATTATTATTACCATAATGTTTGCCACAAAACTTACCGTATTATTCCTTATGGGTGTCTATTTCCAGACACAATTGGTTTCGGGCGCCCCTAAAACCAAAGCCGAGTGTAAGAAACATTGCATGACTGTCAGGTGCGCACCGGCCGACCCAACCAAATGCGCTGCCATACCTAACTCGGTGTACTTGGGCTACGCGCCCGAGTTATGCCGGTGCTGTTCCGTATGCCAAGTAAATCTCAGTATGTATTATCATCATCATATTGTGTAATTATTGTTTATTAAGTGACATTTTGTTTTGTTTATCATGTTTTGTTGTAATTAATTAGATGAGGGTCAAAATTGTCAATCAACATTTAGCTTGAGCAAAACATGTAATCCAGGATTGATTTGCGATGTCAAAAGTAACCGGTGCGTTAAACACTAAAAGTAGCATGGCCACGATTAAAATGTTTACGCCTAAATATTAAATAAAAATTTTGATAATTCATGAATTTTTCCAATGAGTATAAATGTTTGTAATTTAATAAATATTTCAGAAAAATGTATAATATATTTACAGTTATTCACTTAGATGTACAATCTCATTTATTGTTTCCACGTATAAAATTTAATGTTTTATAAATGTTATTTTAATCATTACTTAAAAGCAAAATTATTCCAATTAAGCAATCATTAAGTATTAAACATTTATTATTTTACATTTTCTAAAAATTGGTATACATAACTAAATTATATTATAAAAGTATTAATATCTAATAATACATGTAAAATATTTATGTTGCATGAGCTATACTTAATGTAATAAAACTATTGAGTAATTAATTATTAAGATGGTAAATGTAAATTACTGTTATTTCTTATTTGTTTTATAATATACAGTATCACACACGTATGTTGGCTATGTAAAATAATTATATATATAAGCTTTTTCAAGTTTATTTATACTGCACAGATGGTATTTGTGCTAGGGTATTTTTGTTTTTATTAATAGTTATATTTAATTACAATTATATCCTAGTTTATACTAATTAATTTAATCTCAATTGAAATATGCGTTATATTTTAAAATATATAACATATTTTAAAAGTTTTTGAATATAGATATTTATTACAATATAAATTCAAAATGGTTTACAATAAATACACTTATATGAAATTTTATATTAAATAAAACATTATAAATTGAAAATAATAATTTATTTAATTTGAACAATCAC